CACCGAACAACAGGTCATCGACGACACTAATTCAATTCCCGACTCTAAAGCTCCTGGATGAACTGGTTCGCAGAGGAAAAGGTTTTTTACCTGGATGGTGACCGAAGGGAAGCCGAGGAGAGAGCAGAGGGCATTCATGAGGGTGTTGACGGCCTCCATTCCGGATCTGAATGCGATGATGGCCGCCAAGACGGCCGCGTACAGTCCCGTCGCCCTCGTCGCTCACGTCAAGCCCGCATCCAGCAGTCCTTTGTACTTCCTGTGCGGTATACGAGCAACACAAGACCATAGATTAAATGCATCAGTCATAAACCCTCTGGAGAAGAGCGAAATGTTACTGTCGATGCAGGAACGACTGATGTCGCTGACCATGGTCGTCTTTACGCACTACATAACTCAAGATTATATTTATTCGGTGCATTCCAATGGCTACGACAGCGAAATTTTCGTTTACAGAAGATGCAGATACGTCCTGTGTGCAGGTGGGGGAAACCCTGGGCGGGAAGAGAGTTTTTCTGCACTAGCTCGTCAAGAAACTAGCTCCATTCCAGAGCTCAAAAAGATGGATTGAGAATCTCCTTTCACGTGAGAGGAGCGGAATCTTATCGCACTTTCCAATTCGACCTTTACAATTCTTGATTGTCCGGGTTTTCCCTTTCAAAGATGGATCGGAAGTAGAGTTCGACGAGGAAGCAGAAAACATCCGTGTTGACACTTGCGCAAATATAAAATGAGCAAAAAAGGTACTTTTCGGCGTGATCATTGCCAGAGCGAAATGATCCTGTTTCCGTGCATATCTGCACGCCAGTTTTCAAATATGGTCTGGGCAATGCTCAAATAAATATCGCCTAACGATGAAAGTGGTACCCAGCCACCCAAACCATCATCGCTTCCTCCCAAAAGGATCCGAAAAAAAAATCAAGGAGTGAGTTCGAGTCGGGCTGCAAGCCCTTTCGATTCTCGACACAGTCGGTATGAGATCGACTCCGGCGGGGAGGAACGCACGGTTTAATCGACGCACTCCGAGCATGCGCGATGCCCGAGCGATCCTCGATTCACCTTCGTCATGCGGGCGTCGAAGTCTCCGAGAGGATCCTCTTCGAAGCGAACGAGGCCGAGGTTCCATTCTTTTCCATGGTAGACGCGACCAGAGGAGAAGGATCCGAGCCCGAGGGAGGTCGGAAAGACTCCTCTTATAGCTGCGCAGAAACGCGTTTTTGGGGTGGAACGGCTAGGAATGAAGGGCATGCCGTGTAACTCGCCAGAATGGCAAAGCGAGCCCTGTGGCGTGAGAAATCGTGCAAGGTACTTATATCGCGAAATCTGAAACTGAAGGAAATTCCCCATACACCGAAATAGCTCTTTCTTTGGGATGGGTTGTGCGAATTCGATGTCCAGCCATCAAGCATCAGATCGGAGCTGTCACGAAAATCCTTTTTCAGTCACCAAAATTCTCCGCAGTTTTTTCACTTTCGTTCCTAACGATCCCCGTTCATCTTCACTGTGTTTTCCCTGTTCAGGTGTCTATAGGAGTTCTGGTAGGTATGAAGATCCTAACAACCAATGGATGGATATGCGGGTACTTGAATTTCATAACTTATTTCACAATCGAGTATTTGTGAATACTCCTTCGAGGACGGGTTTTTGGATCATAGTGACATTTGTTTCGAGATATTCGATCACTGTTCCTTTTTGCATCACCTGAGTGAAAGGAATTTTTGTCAGCTTCCGTAGCTCCTGTGCTCTCTTCAGCTTCTGAAGAAGTATTCCTACCTCTAAACAATGAGGTTTTACGGTCTTCTGGTGCGATGATTTCATGACAGTGTTCATTCTCAAGAGATGAGGAGAACTTGCTGGTCCAGCATTACTTGAAATGGACAGTCAGAGGTGGCGTTGGATCTTCGGCCAGATTCTCTGTTGGAACGGAATATTTTTCCAAGCCTTATAGCTTTTGGTTCATGATAGGAATCTAAGAGGGGAAGCGAGCACACTAACGGTATTATCGAAATCGACGAACAGATCAGCAATGCATGTACAATGCATGTACAATGGCAGGGTGGTGTGACAAATGCCAGTCGATCGTATTACGGCTGTGAGAGACGAGAGAAAGAGTGCGTGCAAACCGCTTTTATGGTGGAACGGCTCGCTGACGTCATCACAAGATTTTAGCACGCCTCTCTCCAACCCCCCTTGGGCGAGACGCTATCGTGCCTCGCGGTCGAGGGAGAAAATGCACTCTGGGCTCGGCGAACTTCGTTCGGCGCGGAATGCCGAGTGCCGTTGGCTCTCGCTTTTCGTTCGATGGTACGATTTTTACGGAAGGGGTGTCGCGGCATGCAGTTCCCGGTTTCACGATAGAACTTTTAGACGCGCGGGTCACCTGGTCACGGAGATGTCTCGAGAGATATTTTCTCGCTTTCTAAGCCATGCTGCACTTCGTCAAAATGTTACCATTGAGGACCTTTTCGAACCGTGATGTCGAATCTTAGGTTACGATACGACGCGAAGGTCATCGATCGCTACCGTCTGGTTCGCGTGCTCCGAATCGTCGCAAAGGTGATGTGAGGCGCGCCTCACCCACGCCCATCTTGCGATTCGAAGTCGAACCGCTGCCCATCGTTTTACGCGGGAGAAGAAAGAAAAGGACACGGACCCCGCGTCCATGGAGATGTGTTCGGCCCTGGTCTTGGACTCCTCCGTCTCGGGGTGGAGGAGCTTGGCGCAGGCGAGAGCGGCCGGGGCGGACATGAAGGAGGCCGACACCAGATGGGCCGCCGACGCTCCGAATCCCACGAACGCCACGAGGACGGCTCCTGGAACCGAAATTCGGAGTCAGATGCATTTCCTTCGGGATCGCTTTGGCTCTCGGACGGACCTGCGACGCTGGCGAGTCCGGCCGCGATGACGACGGTCAGCTCGGATGGCGTCATGAGGGGGAGATACGGCTGGATCGCGACCGCTGCCACGATCTGAAGGGAGGGGAAAAAGAACGTCTGACTGCGTAACGTAACAGACATTTCTGAAAGAGCGATGAAAGCTCGAGCTCGTCCGAGTCGAGGTCGTAGAAGCGACGACCGGCCACCCACACTTCGACTTCCATACGGATTCCTTCAACGAATCGTAAAAGACATCTCGTTTCGAAAAGGAACCGAAGCCGTGCGAGCTGCCTCCAGGAGGCCGCTTCCTTGGAAGACCGATCGGTGATTCTCTCGAGCGCACGGAAGTCGATGGGCGACCTCTGATCGCCGCTCACCCGACTGCTAACTGTTAGCTGCTGATGTTCGCCGTGCGTTCGATGGTGATCCGGGTCGCGGCTCGAAGTTAAAAAGAAGCGAAGGGTTACGAAAAACCTTTAATGTCCTCTCGAATCGCGAATCCGTCGACCCGAATCGCGATCGAACGCCCGGACGGCAAGAGCGCGCCGAAAACGCCAGACGACAGACGTGTCCGACGAAGATGTTGGCGGCGGAGTTCATGGATTCTGCAGCCGTCGTGGACACGAGGAACTGCAGGAGCTCCCCCAGCCACACGATCACCCACTGCATCACCCCCAGGTGGTACAGGATCTCCATGATCCAGTTGAAATAAAAGATGTTCGTCAGCGTCTACGGACGAAACGAACGACGAAACGTTCCTCCCTCGTGCGACCGTCCAGAAAAATCGCGGAACCCTGTCGGCAACCGACCTTAAACGCAAAAAGGCGCGGCAACGTGACGTTCCGACCCGGATCCCCCGACGAAAGATACGCAAAGACCCGCTCGCTCCCCACATCCGTGAAGGCGATGAAATCGGTGAACTTGTCTCCCAGGCACCGAAAGACCTCCCTCCCCGTCCCCCACCGCACGATCACCAGGCCGAGGACGAACTGCGACACGATCCCCCAGTAGATCTGGTACCAGTTCACCTGCGGGGAAAGGACCGAGTCGGGGACGATCGGGGGCGATCGGGGGCGATCGGGTCCGTCTCGAGCGGAGAGGTCGCGGAGCAAGAAGTGGAATTCCTCAATTCCTTCGACGTCGTTCGTCCTATGCAGTGAATTTCGACTCGAGTTTGGGACGAACTAGGAATATTTGCATGCAGCGTGCAAAAAACTACATTAGGGAACGTGCTATTCATCCGAGCAAATATTCTACAAAATTACGTAAGTGCAATTTTGAGAACGTTTTGCGGGAAGGTTTAAACGATTTAAAGTCTATGGAACGGGAAAAAGCAGCAAAATGTCCCATACCTGCCAACCAAGGATACCCAAGCCTGAGTTGCTTTCGTCAGCAGTCGAAGAAATGTCGACAAGCGTAAAGCGTATTCATTATGAATGATACCGAAGCTAAAGGAAGTAAAGGAAACGAAATATGCTGCTTATATTTCTTTTACAAGCATTCAGGGATTAGGTCACAAAAAGCACAATTTTAGAATTTTTAACAGCGTAACTTCCTTCGAAAGGAAGCAGAAACGCGTTTCCTCTCATCACGAGACGATTCCAGAGCCACGAGTCACGAACGAGGTAGAAGGAATGCGAGGAGCCACCTGGTGAGGAAAACTGAGGAGAACCGGAACCTACCCTCCCGGGATGCTTGGAGAGGAGCCACCCGACGAGGAGGAAGAAGAAGATGCCGCCGGCGGAGGCCAGCCTCAAGGGCTCGTCCCATCCGTCCACGACCAGGAACGCCAGGATCCCCAATAAGAGGGCCAGATGGACTCCCAACCGAGCGTGCCTAAGGGACCGGAAGCGCCGAAAACTTATCCGATTTTTCATTCTCGTTTATTTATTTAAGAGTCGTCACGAATGGGAGAGAACTCCGGATTCCAAAAGAGTTCGTCTCGAGCATGCTAAGGTCTGCTCCACCAGAGTTTTCGACAAGTCAAATTTGAAGGATCGATCGACCAACGAGCAAAATTCACAGCAAAATACACTAGCGAAATTCCAAAAGCCTGCAATAAAAAAAAATAATAATAATAATAAAATATATATATATAGAACAGGGCCGAACTGAGAGATGAACCGGCAGGGACGACCTTGATTTTGTTTAGGACCAAAAAGGTGTTCCGGATTCGGTCGATTCCAGTTTCAGGTTCAATCTCATTGCTGGCAATATTTTCACGGAACGAAGGAAAAAGGTGCACGAGCGAGATGACCCAAACTTGGCACTTAATCCAAACTCCAATTTCTCTGGTAGAGCCGATGCGAGACATTTCCGTCGTTCGGCTCCATTTCTCCATAGAAATTAAATCGGTGATTTCCATAAAATACCTTCCTTCGGGGTGCCTCAATAAAATATCGTTTTTCTTTGTTCCGGTGGAAATACGAGTGGGACTCTTGCCTCGCATCCATTGCCTGATGAAAATGACAGGCTTGACACCATTCCTCGACTGTCCTAACGAGGCAGTGAAAGAAATCGCGAATCATTGGGGGGGAAAAAAGTGATCGTGCGGCAGGACGATTACGGCCACGCCCCTGTATGGCTCGACTTCGACACGGCGATCGAACGAGACGGCCGGTTTCCCCTCCGGGGGAACGTAGCAATCACTTCCTATCGTTAGATACCCCGTGCACGTGACACTGCATTAATCGGCTGGAATGGAAGCGGACCGACCTCGTTCTCGCTGCGTTTCGAAGACCGACGACGACCTTCCAAGTGGAGGCTCGCGCCCAGACGAAGGCGAGAATCCTTCGGAAGAGGAACTTGTGCGCGAGGGCGAGGTAGGCGACTCCGGTGACGGAGAGCAGCAGGCCGAGTCCCTCGCACGGCTCCAGGCTCTCCTCCCCCCGCGACCAGAGGGCGACGGCCCAGACCAGGTAGGCGTTGTAGGAGAGGAAGAGGACGAGAAGGGTGGTCCGTCGGAGGGCCTGGACGTGCCGGGTCTTCCAGGTCTTCCAGGCCTTCCGGATCGCGAGAAGGGGATGACGGCTTTCCTGGGGAATAGAAAAAAACGGACGATGAAAAATATATCGTTTTCGTCGACTGGGTTCTTCGGTCGTCTCACTCGTTCGTTCGTGAAAACGGCTGGAAAAGAAGGACCTTCCCGCTCAAAGCGGAAAAAGCAGGTAAAAGACGCATGGCATCTCAAACCCACAGTCGATTTCCCTGGTGAAAATCGCAGAGCGCAACCGACCGGGGACCGTAGGGTTCCCAGGATGATCGTGCGACGTGAGCGTTTGTGAGGGCACGTCGGTTCTCGTGGAATATTAAATTTGCACGATGATTGCACAGTATGATGCTGGAAACAAGTCAGGAAAAGGCCAACCGTGCGAAATTCTCAGGGAAACCTGGTACAGACATACGGTATTATCTGGTCACGGCTCGAACAGATTATTTTTAAAAAAAAAGAAACCGGATCCCTTCACAACTGAACCGATGCTCTCGATAAGCCCTAAAGTAGGAGCAACTGCGGTCGACTTCGAATTTATAAAAAAAAATGGCGTCGGAGACTAACGATAAATTCAACTGACAAAACAAGCAAAACGAAGTGGATCGAGTGGTCCGTTACCGTCGCCACATCTGCAAATTCCCGCGCGAAAAAGGAAAATCGAATGATGGCCGAGAACATTTCCTCTCAGACGCATTGGATGGAGGAGCCCCGACTCGTTTCGCAACGACCGTGCGAATGCGACCCGAATCCCGATGAACCTGGTAGAGGCGTGGACGGGGAGGTTTTTTTTTTGCACGGGCCGCGGCCCGAACCCGCGTCCCTGAGCCCGAGCCCGCTCCGGCCAAAAAAAATAACCTCCCGCGCAGGACTCTACTCCGCCAAGGAGAGAAACCCGTGGAAGGAATGCGGAATTCGTCTCGGAGGCCCGTGCGTCCTTCACCTCTTCGTCTCCTTCGAAACGCGCGTGAATTTCCGTGTCTCCTTCTCCATTTCATCTTTACCGAAATGTTTATATCTGTGCTGGGAGGCAATTAACGACTTTGAAACAGCATTTATATGGAGTTTTCATCAGTTTATAACAATGTAATGACACAAATCGCTAGTGTACTGCGCATGACTTAGGCGAAAATATAACGCGCTCCTTCTATTTTCATCAAACTCATTTTTTCAAGGAGCATCAAGTGGAGCATGTCCATATATTTCTGTGGCATATTTTCAGCTTCATTATTTTAATGGAAGAGTGTGAATGCAAGTAAAGCATATACAAGTAAAGCTACACGCGTTTACCATTCGCCGACATGCTTCGAAAATTTAGATTTTTATTATGCACGGCAGTTTCAAATTGACCGTCTTCGAAAGTCTTTTCAATGCTGCAATCATTGTTCCGTGAGCGAAGGGACAGGTTTAGGCGGCACTCACGGAGTTAAAGAAAAAAGTGACATGAAAAGTTTTCAGGTTCACACAGCCATGTGGATTTCTGAGCGATTGCGCAATTCCATTTTTTTTAGCATCCATCGCCGCTTTAATGGATTAGTGCGTGATCGAGCGGAAGCCGGCTGAGAAGCTGGGTGAGAAGAATTTGCCATTATATCTGGGAGAAGTGAGCATTTTGGGGGGAAAAGTTGTGGATCCAGCAACCCTGTCGACCAGAACGCCGCCGTTCGCGTTATCGGACGCGCGTGGCTGCTCCCTCTGTTCCGTGGACGAGTGTCGATGATGCAATGGCGAATCGACCAAGGGAGGCGAATGGTCGCGGAACCCTGGTGAATGAGTTTTAACGAGAGGGAAAAAAAGTTGAGACCCGTACGAAGGCCTTCGTGATTTTCGGGAAAGGAACGAAAAACAGGCTTTCGCATCGAAGGCGGAGAGAGAGTAGCGTGCGTCCTGGATGGATGCTCACTCACGTGCTGCTGGGCTCGTTCGGGGTGGGGACGAGAGGGATCCGACGACGACATCCCGGGGGGACTGGAGGGATTCGACGACGACATCCCGGGGAGACGGGAGGATGCAGTGCCTCACGATCCACTCTGGGGATTTTCACTGGAGAGCCGGAGATGGGATGGGGTTTCTGCGTGGGGCAGGTGCAGAACGCGACGGAGGCCGTCTCAACATGAGATTTCCCTTCGCTTTCCCTATTCACGCACTGGGTCCTCACGCACACACGCACCATGAGTGTTTCACTCGCTTTCTCCACCGTGCCGGTCCGAACAGATACCGACAAGAGAGAGTCGACCGGATTCGATGACCGAACGGTTCGGGCTTCCGAAATTCAACCCTCGAGTTGAACTGAGCCCGAAGTCGGAAGTCCGGCCACTACGGCTTCATACGAGGCCGTGGTTGACCGTCCCTGCGGTTCTGTTCGGAGTGCCTGGTCGAAAGGTCCCCTTGGTCTCAAGCCGGTCCCAAGCTTCTTTGCCATACGTTCGCTGTTGTGCGTGTCCGTCCCGTCATGCGAAGTAAGAATGGATGGAGTCGAGAACTCTAAGACACTCGAATGATGGGAGTTCGAGAAATCGAGGAAGTCCAGGCATAAAAAGATGAAGTAATGTGAAAACCAACTTTCAATGGCTTTTCCTTTCTTCAATCCCCCTCCCTCCCTTCTCTACAGGACTCACTAACGTTAAGTCTAGGCCAGGGCTTCCCAACCCAGGGGTCACGACACCACGTGGGGTCGCCCAGATCATATTTGAGGTTGCGAACCGGCAACTAGACGCCAAGTTATGTTTTTCCTTGCGATTTTAGCGCAAAAATGGGGGAGCCTGTCGGTTCGGCAAGTGCTTGGGGCCCTGAATGGTATGATCGTGATTTTTGGGGTCGCACGTGAAAAGGGTTGGGAAGCCCTGGCCTAGGCCTAAAAACGGACTGCCTTCAGGCTACGCCAAGGCCTACCTGTTTCCTTTCGAAAGAAACTTAATTCTCGACTCTAGGGGGCGAACTAGGCCTATAACGGTGATCCGTGGTCTTCGAGACATCTCGTTGAGGACATGTAACGACAAGCCAATCGCAGGCCTGTTCATACCTTCACGAACCACTTCAGTGCGGACGTGGAACGTAAGGCCTATCGGGAGTTCCTCGAACCATCTCGAATAGGTCTAGGGAGTAAATGCCTCTAGGAAGCATCATAACCATGATGCGCGCCATCCTATTAACACAGGGATGCCCGGATAAGATATCTCCATATCCCACCGCATCGATCAATCACCGCTAATCACCGCTTCATTCTCAGTTCCATTCATGAACTCAGCACGAAAATGTTTCATACTTTAAAAAACCTAAGATCCAAACGCCGATACAATGTTGAAGTCGCGTTGAATCTGGCGTATGATTTCGGCATGGTATCCGGCAACACTGGGGGACGGTACCGGGGCCAGCTCTCCAAACCTAATTGAAGAAAGCCGATTTCATTTTTTATGGCGAAAGGGTGCATCACAAAGAACGAAAAGGCCACTTTTCGTCATCTACGAGTCAATACCTTTCTTATGGTTGGTCTCTTTCCTCCGAAAATCCCCTTGGAATCCCCTAGGAACCCAGGGGAGAGGGGAGGGAAAAAAATTGGAATGAAATTCACGATTTTTGAAAAACGAGATTCGGTGTTCTCCAGAACCCCGGGGAGATGAAGCTTCAAATTTGCTGGAACTATTCTGCGTCGAGAGAGGAAGACGCATGCCAAATTTCGTTCCTGTTGATGCTCTCATAGAGGAATACGAAGAGGCTGAATTTTGCTGAAGGAGGGGAGTGAAGAAAGGTAATAAAAGAAAGGAGTGAGGCGCTACCAAAGCCTATCGATTTTCCTCTGTCGTTCAGTAGCTGTCGCGTGTCGGCTTAAGTCCCGGCTCCCACGGTTGCCGGATATCGTGCTGGAGTTATGCGGGATCGTTCACTGCTTCTGCTTTCATAACGGTGTTTGGCAAAACGCTCGAAACAATCGGCTCATGGTTTAAAGAATCCTTTGAGTCCCCTTTGGCAACTTTGAATGTTCGAGTCGATTGAATTGAACGGATCGCATCTATTTCAGCACAAGCTGATGCGATTAAAATCTCGTTTTCAGAGTTTTCTCCGAGCACCCAGCTGCTTCACCGTATTTATGATACGGAGGTCCGAATGGAATCGATTTGGATTCGGCGTTTCGGCCGCAACCGCGAAAAGCGAATCGGAGTGACACACCGCAATGCCAAGAGGACTCCCGGTTGGACGCTAAAAGTGCGACCGGCCGATGCCACCAAGAAGACGACCTATAGGACATACACGTCCGGGACGTCGGACTCCACAAATGTGCTACAGAAAAGCGCGAAAAACTGCAGCTCGAACCGTAGCCGAAGCGAAAGCATGGAAGAATGGATGTGACCACTGCACTGCAAACAAGATGGTCTGACGAACCGTTCGAAAGCTCCTGAATGGCAGGTGACATACTCTCCGGGTCGTGAAAGGCCGAAACGGAAATACATGGAAGGTGGAAGGAACAGTTTGAGGATTCGTGAAACCCTCCCGCAGGGGGGACTACGATGTATCCTACTGGGAGCCTTATCCGAGAGAATATTCTCACGATGGAGGAAGTCGAAGGAGCGACGGCTGGCCCCAAGAATGGGAAGTCCCCAGGCAAGTACGAAATCCTACAGAGATCCCGAAACCGATGGATATCGATGGGTGCTCGTGAATGAATAGGGTGCGCGGAACGGTTGGGAATATCGGGAACGGCACCGGTGGATCGTCAGACCGATGCGATAATTCCTCTTTTCAAGACGGGGGTACTCGAGGGAGAGCACCGACTACCGTGGAATCACTCCTGGGCACACCTGGCAACTTTTGATCGAATTCTACAGAACTGCATTGAAAACTCTGTAGAAGTCTATATGTTTCTACTCAACGGTTTTTCCTGGGTCCTTTCCCGTTCCTCGTGTACGCGGATAGGATCTGTAAGCGTCGCCCTGGCCCGATCATTATCGGTGGTGTTTCATTTCGAACATTTCCCTTCGCCGTTTGACACCGTCCTTTCGTCCCGGTACAGGCAGGTGCCACATGGCGAGTTCGGCCGGTTCGACTCGAAAAGTACTGAGACGAGGATGAAATACGGCTTCATATATTACGGAGCTCCCAGGAACAGAAGTCTCGGTACCCCTGGGTCTGGTTCTCGAGTGACGTGCGATACGGAAACCAGATCGACAGACGCATCTCCAGGACTTCCCGCAGTTTTGCGGCAACTCTGGAGGGCCTCGGAGGTTAAATCTTCAACTTCCGAGGCGCTGAAACTCTCGGAATTTTTAGACCTTTTTCCTCCTCGCACATCCCATCAGAAGCTATGGGTGACGACCGGAAGGATCAGGTCGAGGACAGAAGTTGCCAAAATGATGACGACATCGCGAGTCTTCGTCACTCGAGGCTCAGCATAATCACCTGCCGAGCTCGAGTCCGTCACACGGGATCGGGAACGGCGGAAGATTCGCCGCGACCCCATTAACGTGGGATGAGCACTTTCGAAAACGAATTGCATGTAAGGAAGTATGCTCCCAAGAATGAAATTACGTGAAGGAATGGGTGAACAAAATGCAATTGTTTGTGCGAGTGAAGAACCCGGACCCTCGGTTCACTAGCACAACAAAGCGACATTTCCCTAAAATTCCTCGTCGCCAAGGCCTACCAACTCTCAGTCAAAGGTCAAAGGTCATTGGAAGGGAATCGAGGGAAAGAAACGATTCCACGTTCGCGGTGGAATCAGGTGGAGCCTATTTAGGTATAGGGGATGGCTCGAAGTTGTCGTAACGATGCCGAATCGTTTCCATTTCTGCCGCCATTCTCGCGATGTCATCGAATATAAGCTTTCGTTGGAAAATGGAATATTGATCGATGAAGAAAGCAACCGAGTGGTGAGGTCCTCCTTTCCTCTTGCTTTTCTTTCATGGAAACTCGAGCGGGCGAGGGCCAGTGCACTCGACTCCTCGCAAACTTCCCCACGCCGCGAGGAAAACGAGAGGGAGGTCACGCCGCGAGGAAATCGAGAGGGAGGTCACGCCAAGATCTTTCTCATTCTTCGCTTCTCCGCGATCGCAGAGACTGACCGGAAGGAAGGACTGTTCTCTCGTCGCAAGCAGAAATCATTTGGAACATCTAAAAAAAGAAAAAATTTCCGAATTTAGAAATCTGGCAGAAATCTTGGGGAATAAATCGGGCATATCTTCAATTTCTTCTACAAGTCATTTAAAAACGATTCTCATCCTCATTCTTCTCCTTCTCACAACGCATCCACACGTTGGAAAGTCCTCCGCCCGTCACGTCTCTCCTCGAGACCCGAGCGGCAGTTTCTCTTCGGATCGTCCGAGCACGTCGGACGTCTGAAAACGAAAGAGCGAGTCGAAAGCGATTAAGTCCTAAGCCAAGCCTAGAGATGACACCGGCGTCGACCTACCTCCATGACCTTGACATGACCTGACGTGTCGCTCATAAAGCTTGCAAATCGACGTAGTACCATCTCTGATTGTTTTTTACATTTTCAATCTCTGGTTGAAATATCACATTTCGGCCTCATCGGGTCAGTACGTCAGATGCTACAGGGCGGGTCTGCTATTAATGTATGATGCGAACAAGATCAGTCATCGAAGCGATTCGACTCTTCAAAATTAGTCCTTGAGCCTACCGCGATGACGTCAGTCCCGAGGCCTCAGACATTCGATACAGGGTTGCCACAAAGTCTGGAATCAAGGGGAAATATTGTTTCTTTACAAACCTTGTATCAGATGCTGTGCTGAAGCTCTTAGCATGGCTCTGACAAAAGAGAAACGAATCGAAGTGATATCGTTATGTGGTCACAACCACAGGTGGCCGATTACTTCTATGAAATTGGAATTGGATTGAAATTTAAATTTACTTCCCTAAGAGATAGGTTATCACCAGAGTGCTGTTGTAAAGTCGTTAAAATAATTAAGACGCTTGGGGTGAGTTTAACCAAACCGACGTGTGGCCTCCAAACAGCCCGGACTTGAACCCCGTTTATTACGCCATCTGGAGTGCCCTTCAGCAGCGTGTCTATCGCGGGCGAAGATTCAATACTGTCGATCGACTGAAGCTGGCTATCGTCGAGGAGTGGGGTAAACGGTCGCAACGTTTCATCGACCGCAGCATAACTAATGGCGCCAGCGTCTCGAGTGTGTGCGAGGAGGACGCATCGAACATCACATGCTCGTGTGGATGACACTGGATGACACCGAGGCTTCGTCAAACCGTTTTTCTGTTTTTTTTTATCATCGCTCTTAATACGTACGTGTAAAAATTTGTAGTGGCCTCACTTTCTTGGGCCACCCAACGGACACAATTGCTGACATCCCTACGCTCGTTGCCCTCCTGGGTGTTGGATTTTAGGGTCGACATCCACTAGCCCTTCACCATTCATTTCGCTGGCCTGTCCATCGTAATTTCTGGCCTGCTTGGTCTGGGTTCCTCTCCGGCACGTCTCAAGGTTTCTTTTGTATAATATTCCCCACGATTGACTGGGGGAACTGTAAAGTCTCTGCAATCGTACGCCCTGTCATACCTGTGATATGACTACCTGCTCTCATTCCACATTCATATTCTGTCAGTTCCGATCCACGCTCCATATTGGGAAACACTGACTGTAACAGATTGCAGATCTCCTTTGCCGTAATGCCCTCTAGAGAGCAAGTGGTCTGTGGAACGATCTGCCATTGGCAGAGGAAGGCTTGTCCCAATACTTTTGGCAACATAATAAGCTCTGAAATGACTCATTATCTCAACAATCAGATCAACCAGTTGCAAGGTTGCAAGGAAGGGAATCAGATGAATGGGACGAAGAACTTGCCTCAGAATGTCTCAGTGTCTTTTCTGATAGTCAAGTACAGATTTAACCGTTTCCCAACTGGGGATCTGAATGCTCCATGGCTTGTACCCGTCATATGACGAGGGTAGGGCTGAAAGTGCTGGATCTAAAGGTTCAGGAAATCTCTCGACGCCCAGAAGACACAGTGCGACGCACGGACACACGGCATCCACGACACCTATAGTGAAATTTCCTATTGGACAACCGCACATGCGGTATAGCCAGATTTGTCTCACGGAGCTGTGTGGTCATCTTAGTACTGAGTACTGAACTAGAATTGAACGCCCTGACGTATTCCCATGCCGGCGGAGATGAATGACGAAGAAAATAACGAAGGACTTTCATTGAAGTACTAAAGCACTTATCATCCTTAAGTAGTGAACTAGTCCTGGAAGTACCGGAAAAAGCTCACCATCCTCAGCACATAGGATTAGCAAAATTATGAAGTGTGATGGCACCTTTAGGTGGGCTACACAAATACTTTGTTCAACCTACATGTGGAAAAATAAAAAATAATAAAAACCTCCATTTCTGAGACTCCCTTTTACTGTCCGCTCGACCTCCAGGCCGAAATACATTCTACTAGGAACTCTCATTTAAAAATGAGCGGAAGCGAAAGCTCGTTATACTGTACATCTACACCCACTTCGACCAGTTGCCAAAATTAGTTGCCAAAACTGACGCTATTTGGGGGCAGGGCGCATGTAAACACATCAGATCTGAGTGCGGCTTATTTACGGGTAGGAATTTTCAGAAACATGCTGTTCCTCTCTCTCCTATCGCCTTTTATTTGCATTTTTCTTTCCAGAGTATGAACCCTCCAAATTTTGGCAAGTTCAGCTGGTGAACATTGAAAAGCCTACGTATCTAAATTTAAATGAAGTAATGTGAAAACCAATTTTCAATGGCTTTGCCTTTCTTCAATTCCCCCCCCCCGCCTCTCTACGGGACTCACTAATGTTAGGCCTAGGCCTAACCAACAGACCACCTTCAGGTCACGCCAAGGCCTACCTTTTTCTTTTCAAAAGAAATTCAATTCTCGACTTACGGCGTCAATTAGGCCTATAAAGGTGAATAGTGGTCTTCCTGACATCTGGTTGAGGACGTGTAACGTTAGGCCAATCGCAGGTCTATTCATACTCTCACAAACCATTTCAAGTGGACGTGTAACGTTAAGATTATCTGGAGTTCCTCGAACCATCTCGAATGGGTCTGGGGAGGGAATCTCCTCAAGAGGCATGGAATGCATGGTGCGAGCCATCCTGTTCATTCAGGGACGTCCGGATAAGATATTTGCATTTTTCACTGCATCGATCAATAAAACCACGGCTTCATTCTCAGCTCATTTCATGAACTCAACTCAAAAATGCCTCGTAAATAAGAAAAATAGATCCAGACGCCAATACGAAGGTTGAAACAGTCTCTTGAATCTGACATAATTTCGGCACAGTATCAGGCAACACTGGGGGACGGTATCGGAGCAACAACTCAAATCCTAATCCACAGCTAACTTCGTTTTTATGGCGAAATGATGCATTACAAACAGCAAAAGAGCCCATTCTCATCATGTCATTCTCGTCAATATCTCTCTTATGGTGGGACTCTTTCCTCCGAAAACCCAAAGGGGGGGGGGAGAAAGAAAAAGGAATGAAATTCACATCCTCCGAAAACGAGATTTAGCGTTCTCCACAACCCCGGGGAGATGGAGCTTCAAATTTGCTGGAATGATTCTGTGGTGAGAGAGGAAGAAGTATACCAAATTTCGTTCTTCGAAGGGGTGGAAGAAAGGAAATAGGCGTTAGCAAAGCCCATTTTGATATTCGAAAAAATTTTAATCGAAAAAACCTTCAAGTGAAACACGTGATTCTACTAGGTAATAACCTATATTTCGAAAGAATGGCAAAACTTGACAGTTTGGAGATAGAGACTGCACATCTCTTATCAAAATTGTTGATCGCGATTACTGATATGAGTGCAAGTGAAATGCGAATAAGAAAAAGGCAATCATTAGTACTTCGTAGTGCGCCGCGTATAAATAATTAGGAACTATGCTGCACTTTGCATGCCGATAACATAGATTTCCTTTTTTTTTTCTTAGAAGTAGTTAGTGTCTCTTTTGGACATGGAAAGCAGATGCTACGTATTCGCATCAGCCGCTTTCCTCATTTTTAAGCCGAGAGTCACTAGATTAATCACTCTAACGGAGCTTCAGAAACGAATATTTCCTATCCACCGATAAAGCCGGATTTACATTTTAAATAGCAGTTCTTGAAGAGAGAATTTTCATAATTTTCACATCACCTTGGACTTTCACGAACCGGAGAAGATTCATGCAGAATCGAAAAACAGGAAAACATCTCTATTTCGACTCCAAGCCTTCCTGCATCCATCTTACCCAGGATGAGAAAGTGAAACTGGGAGTTAACCTCACCTACCTTTTTAAGTGGTTGAAAGGTTAGCATGGTTAGCAGTCGCGAGGTCAACGTTTGGAAAGTCGCTCTTGTGCCCTCTCGCCTCCGTTTATCTACTGTGTATGAGATAAAGGGGGAAATTAAGCAATTACAATAAATTAAGTTTCGGGGCGGATGTCAACGGGGGCGAAAGTGAAAGACAATTCTAAATGACGTCTGGGTCCCCTACATGCTAATAACTCAAAGAAACATGTTCGTTTACTTAGAAGATTTTAACCTCCTACCACCCACAGATGACCATCTGCCCCAAACCACACATTCCAATTACATGCAAGGCTAACTAATTGCCCACTTGGAACCGTCGCTTTGTCATTCTGAAGACTTGTAAACATAGATTAACACCTCTTTTCACTCACCCCCTCTCACCAACGTGTCACATTACTTTCAGTATATAAAAAAAATATTGCATTGTTGCTGCAGAATCTGCTGTTTACCCTCAGTGCTGTGTTAAACAAAGCAGGGGTGAAGTCGCAATGGCGAACAATACAACGAAATAGGATCATTCGAACTCGTTTATTTCAAGGTGGGCATTTCTCCCCCCTGTATTTCGAATTACTGAGGTCTTCTTCAAGAGATTCCTTTGACCTGAGCCCTCCTAATGTTATCAAAGAGAATCTCACAGGTGGAATCTTATAACTGATCCGGACTGCGTCCGGCATTGGAAATGAAACTCGGAAACCCATTCGCTCAAGAAGTATCCTGTATTGCTGTTTGTGACACATCCTGATCAGGTCAGAGGGCAATCGATGCAAGGGGCTCCATGGGCACAGGTGATCAAGGTGTAATCGACTGAGCATCCGGGTGTGGCCCCAGACGCACAACGACCCACTGCAATTTTGCCTGATGAACACCTGTGAAAAAGTTGAGATGCAGCATCTCTGTTTTTGTAGAACGTTGCATGTAATAATTGACAATCATCATATTGGTTGAGAGATGTATGGCATACCGTTTCGCGCAATGAAATGCATAATCAAATTGTTACATAACAAAAACTTTCAGTGTCTAAAAATTTGCGCATGCACATGGCACAGCTGAACCTTACTTTTCTTTCATTCATTGGATTCCATAGCTTTTACTACACGTCAAGAATAAACTTCATGAATAAATAAATAAATAAATAAACCTTGGTCTAATAACAAAAATGTGGCCATCGGAAAACAGTGCTCCGATGTTGAACAAGAGACTAAAGTAATCAAGATTACAGTATTTTGGAACTGAAGGCGTCATTTAAGTGTTAAAAAATAACGTGGCCAAAGTGGAATCAATTGAAGGACACCCTGCGCAGTCTTTGATGCACGTGCAGAACACCCTGACATTTCTCTCTTCGAAGTTCATTTCCAAGTGAAGGCAATGCTAAATCTATGCAATGTGTTCTTGAAATTCTCTCAAGAGAAGGGTGCTAAAATCGAAGGGATGAATGACACACAAATACCCTTGACCCTCACCTTGAATCATATCCATTGGTGGAAGGCTCTATCCCCACCTCCACCGGATACATCCTACGATTGGGGGTACCTGTGATGGTCTCGTCCAGGAAATACTTGCAACATCTGATGTTGTGGGAGGAGCCGAAGCAGCTGGTGTTGTTGAAGGAGCCACAGACGCCTTGCAAGAACATGCCTTTGGGAGCGCAGGAAAGCATCTCCCCAGCGTCGCCGGGTAGAATCTCGCAGTCAGTGGACGTCAGGGTCCCCTCCGTCACCTTGCAGCACTCGATTTCTGCGGCTATGTTGCTGGCGCAATCGCTATGACCTCCATGTCCAGCTCCACAAGTAAATGTCATTATCTACCAAGAGACAGAAAAAAGCCGTTTCGGCATAGATTCCACGTAAACTTTGCTCGAAACTGCGCAGAGGCCTTTTTTTTCAGATGAAGGACGCTAATGGCGGTTTTGCAGAGAGTAGGAGAGGATGACTCATCTCTCACCGTCCAGTGCTTGCCGAAGCGGGAAAGTTGGAATTTCGAATTAAAATTGCAAGCCCTTTCATTCCGTTAACAAGACATTCAAGTTTCGCCCTAATATTGTAATTGACGCTGACTTTTTCTGTTGTCATAAAGCAGCGGAATAGAGAGAACAAGCAGAGATAGGACGAGATTATACGCATAGGGTCTCATTCCTCCTAAAAGAAGCTCCTCCATGAAAAGGAGAGAGAGAGAGGGGGGGGAGAGAGAGAGAGAGAGGACCTCATTCGGATCGCAGTCCAAGACATTCCCAGCACCTTCAGAGAGAGTCCTGCAGCTCGTTGGGTGCAGGCCCAGGCACTGACTGACCAAGAGCAAACCGATTGCAATCCCCACCAAGATTCCGCGAACGTGCATCTGATGGAGGAAAAAAGGGCAAAGGTTGCAACATCCGCCTCGACGTTTTTCAACGGCTGTCCATCAGATGGCAGACAGTCGAAGACGATTTTGTCAAAGGTTTTTAAGCATTAAACTGGAAATAACTTTAACTGCAACAGTTACTGCTAGTTGAAGCCACGAATCAAGGATTGGTAACGAAAACTCATCACTAAGTAACTCATCGTGAAATGTCAGGAAAAGGAGAACTGTGAAAATGTTCCAAAAGAAGTGGAACACTACATCCGCTGTCTGGAGGAGCCGTTTCAATTCGTCTATTCACTTACCATTACCATGAGTCTCACCTTATTTCCGATGGAGCATGACTGGGAAAAGGCCGAACTGAGGACCCAGATGCTTTCTGGCGTTGCTATAAGTCAGGACAAAGTGCGACGCCACGCAGTTCTTGGAAATCGGTGAGAAAACGGACACTTGCTTGAGATAGGCTGGAGCTGGGAGTCCTTTCCCTTCGACCTGCAAAACTTACCTTTAAAATGCCTTGATATTGACAACTCAATTCTCCAGGACTCCTAATTTTGGCATTGGAATCCTTCGTCTTCCCCCTCCACTCATGGTGAAAAGGCTCCAGAGAATATCACGTTCTTTACCACACAAAAGTCAGCGAGAGAAGATTTTGGCGGCGTTTCCTTGAAACTCTATTTGCGTTGGTAAATATTTAATTCATCGCCAAATAATATTTACGCCATCGCGAAGAAGTAATTATCCATCACCGGAACATACCACTTGGTCACTAAATTGATTCACATCGTCGAATTCTTATTGCCGACACCAAATAATATTTACCGCCGGTCTTAATGAAACACAATTCCCTCTCAGTATTTTCACCAGACGCCATGAAATGACCACCAAACTTCATTGACTTTGCCCCCTGGTTAGAAGAGCCCCGCGGGGATGTAGCCCAACTGGGCTACATCCCCGCGAGGGTGGGGCTCGAAGGGCAATCATGTCGGTGGCATCCACTCTCCTTGGCTGACTGATATAATCTCATCTCCTTTCTCTCATCTATTTCGTCTCGGTGAAAAGTACCTATTGATATATATCGGTCAGTTTTTTCATACCAAATTACCTTGCTCTTGTGTACCTCCATTCTATTGCACCTCCACGATTGCATCACTTCATTGTGGAACAGCCAGGTTCATAGCATTCGGAGATGCCAATCGCATGTGTAGTCACCGTATATAAATAAAAAATAATACATCTAATGAATTTCGAGAGGACGTAAAGAAATTCTCGTTTAATCATTTCAAAGGATCCTGGGTTGGGAAAGATGAATGTGATCTGATGAAAACGTGCAGAATCTGGAAATTTCAGAAGTGCACTAAGTGATGAATCCCCCCAAAAAAAAAACAAAAACAAAAACGTTCATTGGACGACACAACATGAGTAATTGGTGCAGCGAATATTTCAGCAAAATTGGTCCTTTTTCGGGAAAAATTTCGGGAAATGACCTGCACATGTATATTTTCGAGCATATTTTCTGAAGAAGCCTTGCATAGATTTTCATCCGTAGTCGTGTAAAGTCGGGAACTTCAAGGTCATCTAGTGCAACATTCAATATGCGTAGATGGTTTCCCAAAAATGCAGTTAAAATAAAATTCGATGTTGAAATTCGATCTTAAAATTCTATTTTGTAGTTAAATTCGAAATTGTTATTCGAGACGATGTTGGTTTCCGGTGGACGGGATGGAATTAATGGTGCAAATGAGAGACCCAACCTGGAAAGGATTGTCATAACAGGAATGCAAAATATGAGAATCCTGGAAGTAATTCTCAGAATCACTTCACGAGATATATGGTTTAATTTCCCCGAGCAGATCGGTCGAGCATCTCAGATGCAGTAGCTTGAAGGCCCGGGAATGTCTCTATTTACGGCACAAGTGGAATTTTTTTTTTTTTTTTTTTTTACATATTTCCCAATCGTCCAGTCCAGCCTGATTCCTTATCATTTTCCCATCGTCGCGATATTAAAGGACTGATATCATCCATCACGGAAAAATGCACGAAAGACCAGCCTCTCCAACTTTAAAACCCAGCAATCCGCGATAAAAGTCGATTGCCACCGCTTTTTCTTCAAAGAAAACTGTTTCTGTACCGTTAAGATTCATGAGCGACATCCTTAAATTTTACTAGAAATATTCTGTGCTCTCTCCACTCTTGATTCACTCCAACAAATTTTCATGTAAATGAAATACGTCTTACCTTCGAGTAACCAGTACTAACCCAGGTAGCACACTTATTGACTCTTTCATGTTAATACTGCGTCAATATGATAAGAATTTCATGCATGTTGAAAAGTTTGACGTGACTATTGATGTTGCTATTTTCGTAAAAAACTTGACATGTATGTAAGTCACATCAACTTGATGTTACATTTAATGTATATATTGACGCTCATGAGGACATACACTTTTGACAAGTTATTAATACGAGGACCTTGTAATTATCACCATA